AGATGACATCAAAAGAAATAACGCATGTAAAAGTTAGGCATTTAAAATATTCTCAATGCTTTATTTTATTTAATTTCAGTAAAAGCAGATTTATCTATTTGGTGGAGGGGAATGCCAGCATCCCCTTCTCAAGCAAAGAAGTTGGAAGATGAGATATGGAAATGAAAATAACTGTAAACAAAAAATGAAACTTAGCAGTCTAGTTTCACTCTTCTTGCTGGAAGAGGAGGGAGGAAGAAACCTGGTAAATCATTAAAAAGCAGCATTTGGTTTTCTGGTTTGCAAGCTGAACTGCATTAGGTGTCAGCAGGGTCTTTAAGCAGCCCTTCCTTAGGACTTTTCTTTAGGTACTTAACATACCTGTTGCCAGCCTCCTTGCCTGCTGGGAATTCGGTCCAGTTTAGCTGAGCTTAATGACACTGTTGTGTCCCTGATGAGATAAACAGTGTGTCTGCCTCTGGAGCAAAGAGAAGTCTCTTAGCTAGTAGCAGTATAGGGTCTGCGATTTGGGATTGATCCATTCTTGTAGCAGGCACACGTGACGGTTGGTTGGTGCAAATGTCATACGCATATGTTGTTGTATTTCCTTTCAGAAGTGTGTCTTAACTTAATAGCATCCAAATTCTGGCATACTTTTGGAGAAAGAGGTTCTTGTTATGGATGCCAGATAAACTGTGTAGTTTCTTTTGTTCAGAACATCTGTTGCAGCAGGTTCCTTTCCCCAAGAAAAATGTGTTCTTGTGCACAGCCCATGTACAAGCACAAACCCATACACCAGGCAGGGATAGGGGGTACTTGATCTGCCAGGAAGAGGGTGGATGAAGTTGCTAAGTTGCTTTCCATTATATTTGAAAAGTCGTGGCAGTCTGGTAAAGTTTCCACTGACTGGAAAAGGGGAAACATAACCCCTGTTTTCAAAAAGGGAGAAAAGGAATACCCGGGAAATTACAGGCCAGTCAGTCTCGCCTCTGTGCCCAGCAAGATCATGGAGCAGATCCTCCTGGAAACTCTGCTAAGTCACATGGAAAATAAGGAGGTGAATGATGACAGCCAACATGGCTTCATCAAGGCAAGTCATGCCTGACAAATTTGGTGGCCATTTATAACAGGGTTACATTATTGGTGGGTAAGGGAAGAGCAGCTGATGTCATCTACCTGGACTTAGGCAAAGCATTTAACACTGTCCTGCATGACATCCTGGTCTCTAAATTGGAGAGATATGGATTTGATGGATGGATGACTCGGTGGCTAAGGAATTCGCTTGATGTCACACTCAAAGAGTTGCAGTCAACAGCATGATGTCCAAGTGGAGACCAGTTACGAGTGGCGTTCCTCAGGGGTCGGTACTGGGACCAGTGCTGTTCAACATGTTTGTCCGTGACGTGGACAGTGGGATTGAGTGCACGGTCAGCAAGTTTGCTGACAACACTAAGCTGTGTGGTGCGGTCGACATGCTGGAGGGGTGTGGGATGCCATCCAGAGGGACCTGGACAGCCTTGAGAGATGGGCCCATGCCAACATCATGAAGTTCGACAAGGCCAAGTGCAAGGTCCTACACATGGGTCGGGGCAATCCCAACCACAAATGCAGGCTTGGCAGGGAATGGATTGAAAGCAGCCCTGAGGAGAAGGACTTGGGGGTGTTGGTTAATGAGAAATTCAACATGAGCTGACAATATGTGCTTGCAGCCTAGAAGGCCAACTGCATCCTGGGGTGCATCAAAAGAAGTGTGGCCAGCAGGTCAAGAGGGGTGATTCTGCCCCTCTACTCCGCTCTCATGAGATCCTACCTGGAATGTTGTGTCCAGCTCTGGAGCCCTCAGTACAAGAAGGACATGGACCTGTTGGAGCAGGTCCAGCGGAGGGCCATGAAGATGATCCGAGGCCTGGAGCACCTCTCCTATGAGGAGAGGCTGAGAGAGCTGGGGCTGTTCAGCCTGGGGAAGAGAAGACTCCAGGGAGACCTTATAGTGGCCTTCCAGTATCTGAAGGGGGCCTACAAGAAAGCTGGAGAGGGACTTTTCACAAGGGCATGTAGTGATCGGAGGAGGCGTAATGGCTTCAGACTGGAAGAGGGGAGATTTAGATCAGATATTAAGAAGAAATTCTTTACTGTGAGGGTGATGAGACATTGGCGCAGGTTGCCCAGAGAAGTTGTAGATGCCGCATCCCTGGAAGTGTTCAAGGCCAGGCTGGATGGGGCTTTGAGCAACCTGGTCTAGTGGGAGGTGTCCCTGCCCATGGCAGGGGGGTTGGAACTAGGTGATATTTAAGGTCCCTTCCAACCTAAACCATTCTATGATTCTACGATGAGGAAACATTTTTGTAAGGGCAATGAAGAATGTGTTGCCTCTCACCCATTATGTCAACTAGAAATAGTTAATCTTCCTCAAACATGCTTAATATTGGTGTTTGAAAGGAACTTAAGGAAACGCAGGAAGTTTTTGTTCCAATCTTTTAAAAATTGTAGCTGCAGCTGTAAAAAGCATTTCCTAATAGACATTATTAGACTCCTGTTGTCTTGTTTGGCTCCAGGTGACCAGTTACAGTACGCCACAAAGATCTTTTTTCCTTGGTGCTGCATTTGTTTCTGTAACAGAAGAGATGTGAAAAAGTGGATTGCTAGTGACTGAGTGGCTGTACAGAATCTCTGATCTGGACAGTCTGTGGTCATGTGTATGGTTAGTGAGCAGGCACTGAATAAACTGGGGTGAAATGGGTAATGGGCTCTGTATTGCTGCCAAAGTAATACACACCTCTTGGGAAGCAGCCCTTCACAAATGGTGTCAACAAGTGGTTTCGCTGGCAGCCTACGCACAACGATGAAAGGTGAAATGGGCCAGAGCATGTTATCATACAAGTTATTTTATTCCTTAAAGTTTTCCTTCCAGATCAGAATTCCAGAATATTGGGGAAAAGACAGATACTTATATTTTTACTGTCTACCTTTAGACATGTCTTGCTGGACAGAACATTTGAAAGTTAAATCAGAGAGCGGTGTGTAAGAGCTGAGGGTCTAGGAGTAGTTCTTGTGCAGCCTGGCAAGGTGTTCCAGGTGAAGCAGCAGATCCGGCTGATCAGAGGGGAGAAGGTGGACGTTAAAGACAGCCGGGCCTTGATGTCTTCTAGCATCTCAGAGAGTAAATTGAGCTCATACAGACTTTTTGTTCTCGTTTACGCTTGGCGATAAGCAGACTAAGTTGAAACGCTCCTGGAGTGTGGATGTTACTCTCCAGGGCTGCTAATCCAGTTCCTTAGCTCCTTGATTTACTTGGTGGGACATTGTTTGTTTGCTTGTTTGGGAGGTGGGGGAGAGGAAGTGTGAGGAGGAGAAATGGCATGTATTAGTTGTAGTGCATGAAATGCACGTGTAGATGTTGCAGCCAGCTACATTAGAAGCAAAATGTGTGACCTCAACCAGCGACGCAGTGCTGGCAATTAGAGCTATTGTGCAAGCCCTGGAGACTGCTTTATTGCCTGAGTGACTAAGCGACTTTGCCGGTGAGAAGCAGGAGGAGTGATATTTAGAGGCAGCGTGCATGTCCGCTACAGATTTCGCAGCTTGCCTTGCAAAGAAAGTTAGGCTTCTTTTAAACAGCAGGCAGACATCTGTGAGAAATCCGGGAGCGTAGAAGTGTGACAGAAGAGAGCAATAAGCTATTATTTAGCTGAGGTTTCCACATCTTAGCTGGGTGGAAATCTTGGTGCTTAGAAGCTTGCCTTTGCAAAATCCATGGGAGGGAAAGGCCCCGACTGTGGGGCACCACGAGGGGACTGAGGGCTGGGGTAGGAGGCACAGTATGACTAGCCACATGTGGAGCTGCCACTTTGGGGGATTTTG